CTTCTTTTTTGACTACCTCTTTCATTGACGGGTTTAACCGCCTCTGAGGTTGGACTCTCGGTTTATAGACGTCTTCCATTAGAATTTTGTGTTGAACAATAGACGGGCTAATTCCCTTAATATCCTCAATAGACCAACCTATAGCTGACCTATATTCTCTAAGGACCTCCAGCAGTGTGTTTGTTTCGGACTCGCTCAAACTAGAAGAAATAATCACCGGATAAGTCTTGTCTGCTCCAAGAAAAGCATAACAAAGATAATCCGGTAATTGCTTCAATTCCAGTACGGGGGCTGTTTTCACACTAACTGGTATCTCGGGGACGATCCCTACCTCGTCTATGCCTAAAATCTCGGCACACTCAAGAAACAACACGCAATCAAGCACATCATTTTCAATAGGGGTTTCGGGGGAGGCAGAATGCAAATCAATAGAGTTAACAATGCAGTGCTCAACAGAATCACATAATTCACACAAATCAAAAAAGGAGGAAACACAGTCCTCGATCACGTCTATTCTACTGCAATGCTCAACATGCTCAGAGTGTTTAAATGCATCTGTCAAATTAAAAACAACTTCTTCCCCATTTACCCTAAGCATTAAAGATCCTAATTCCATATCAATCATCGCCTTACCAGTGGCTAAGAATGGACGACCTAAAATGATTGGTGCTTCATCATCTTCAGGCATTTCAAGTACCACAAAATCAACAGGCAAAATGAATTTATCTACTTTAACTAGCACATCTTCTACAATCCCATCGGGATATTTCAATGAACGATCAGCTAGCTGTAAAGTCATGCGAGTGCGGTTCAAATTTCCTAAGCCCAATTTTAGAAACACAGACATAGGCATCAAATTAATACTTGCCCCCAAATCACATAAAGCTTTATCGAAAGTAGAATTGCCAATAATACAAGGAATAGTGTAACTCCCTGGATCTTTCATTTTCGGTGGTAGATTCGACTGAAGAATGGCACTGCAAGTTGCCGTGAGTGTCACTGGTATGTCTTCTTCGATCCGAATTTTCTTGGATAGGACTTCCTTCATGAACTTGGTGTAGTTTGGCATTACCTCCAAGGCTTCTGCAAAAGGGATGTTGATTCGAATCTGCTTGATCTTTTCAATGAACTTCTTCAATTGATCCTTGAACTTCTTCTTCTTCTGTCTTTCTGGAAAAGGAATAGGAGTTACCATAAGAGGGGGATTATCAGGAAAAGAAATGTTATTGGGCTTACTAGCCTCTTTTGTACTACTTCCTGAAATGGTGATTTCCGGCTCGACCGGGGTCGGTTGTACAGCTGGCCTTGGTGATTCGTCTGTCGGATAAGGAGGATCAGTCATTTGCAAACCACTTCGGGTGGTTATGGCTTGACAGCTTTCCTTTGGATTGACTTCGGTATTGCTCGGAAATCCACCATTTGCCATTGTGGACATGGATTGGGCGATTTGCCCTATTTGCTTTTCCATGTTCTTCATTGTTGATTTCAGGCCCTCCATTTCCTGTTCTTGTCGGTGAAGACGCTCGTCGTACGTTGGCCCTCGTTGCTCTCTTTGATGGTTGAGATCGGGAGGTGGTTGTAGAGCATTCTTCGGATTGGCATATGAGAAGTTCTCGTGATTCCGAATTCCCGGGTGATAATGAGTAGGGTTTTGGTTCTGATTGTGGGTTCCCCGGAAATTGTTGAATCGGTGGTTCATAAAGTGTGCCTGCTCCCAATCGTCGTTTGTGGCTTGTGAGGTACTTGCTGCTGCTACTCGTTCGGTCTGTGGCCCTCGAACTGAAATTTGGGCGACCTGATTTGATAGGATCGCTAATTGTGCTGAAACTGCGGCTAAAGGATCGAGTTGGTGGACTCCGGCCACCTTTTGTATACCACTCCGTTCGGACGGCCAATGGTAAGCATTTTCACACATTCGCTCGACAATGTCTCGAGCGTCTGTGGGAGTCTTGTTTTGCAATGATCCACCTGAGGCAGCATCGACTAGAGATCGGGCTGGTTGATCGAGCCCATTGTAGAATAACTCCATTTGATCCCACGGGTTGAATCCGTGTTGAGGGCATTGTCGTAATAAGTCTTTGAATCTCTCCCAAGACTCGTGCATCGGCTCTTGGCTCATCTGTCTGAAATTGCCTACATCTCTTCGTAGTTGTGCGGTCTTCGAGGGTGGAAAGAATCGTGCCAGAAAGGCTTGTGATAATTCTTCCCAACAGGTGAGTGATCCTGGATTAAGACTCAGAAGCCAACTCTTCGCTTTGTCTCTGACAGAAAATGAGAATAGCTTCAACCGAATGGCATCATCAGAAACGCCGTTAACTTTGATCGTGTCACAAATCTCCAAGAAATTGGCAAGATGGAGATTCGGATCCGCAGTGGCTGCTCCGGAGAATTGGTTCGCCATGACCATGTTGATTAGCCCCGTTTTCAGCTCGAAGTTGTTTGCGGCTATCGTCGGTTTCCTGATTCCCGAATAGTTCTCATTCATAGCTGGAGTTCGGTATTCTCGCATTGTTCGCTCGGGTGGCAGGTTCGGTCTTGGCTGCTCGTGATCTCGTCCTGGCTCTCGATCGTACTCAAAGGCCAGGTGCTCTGGATTTCCTTGATCTTCGGCCATTGGTTCACTTTGTTGGTTGCGCGTGGCCCTTAGTCTACGTAATGTCCTTTCAATCTCGGGATCGTAAGGTATGATTTCCAAATTTCGACGCCTGGGCATAAACAAAGTGAGTGGTTAAGATCAAGGTAAAAATCGAAATTAAAACAAGTAAATGGCTAAAGTAATAATCAGATAATTGGTAACACTATCAACAAGATAAAATCAAATTGGTCCCCGGCAACGGCGCCAAAAACTTGATACGCGTTTTTCTCACGTATAAATTACCGCAAGTATACAGTATCGCATTTTGCAGAACAGTGGTTCCGGATATCGATCCACAGGGACCTTGTAGATTCACATGTTGAGTAGTGTAATTATATTATCGTTATATTATCTAGCCGATCGTAAATATTTGGAATTGTGAGAAACCTTAATTTAAAAGCATCCAAGAGCGTAAACATGCAAATATAGAATGTACGTAAATAGAGTAACGACAACTCAACGCGGGGGGACTTTGATTTAAAGGGGACTTCTAGGGCCAAATCCACCTAGGTATAATCAACAACAATCGACAAATCCGCTATCTAAAATCACACTCCTATTCGTTAACCCAGACGCTAATGTACTCTAACCCCCGTCTCCAGTGTAGTTAGAGTCTACCCACAGGTCCGACGTCTCCGTTCAGAACCTGCTATTAAGAGAGCATTTAGGCCAAGTCCTTAAGGGCTACCCGAAGTGCATCACGTCTCCGTTTCCACACCCCGAGCTATGTTTTCCTAACTTCAAACAAGAAATCCTCTCTCGAGTTCATTCCTATTTAATATCAATCTGAGAGCTGATCAACACAATCAGAAGCATTTAATACAGGAAAACATAAACGAAATCAAAACACGATAAATAGATAACAGAAATGACGATCGAAATCAATATATACAAGGCTTCATTGCCCTAGAAGAAAATGTTCTTAGTTCATAACAAACATAGAGTCAAAAGAATGTACACAAGAAAAGAAGAACAAAACGTAAAGAAATATCGTAAGAAAAACCCAAGTCGAAACCCTCGTTGAAGATTCCCGCGAAGAACTGTCGAAGACCGAAGAAAAACCGAAGAAAGTCGAAGATGCCGTAGAAGACTGAGGCTTGCTTCTATTTATAGTAAGGCAAAGCTTCTTGAGGAAGCTTTGCCTTTTTAGATATTTATTACACATCCCGAGGCCCATATCGCGATATGAGAGGCAATATCGGGCGATATGGTAAAATTACAAGCTCTCTGTTTCGTTTTCTCCCATATCGCGATATGGAATGGCATATCGCGATATGGTCACTGCAATAACTTCAAACTCTGTTTTGACCCTTTTGTAGCCCGAATTTGACAATTTTGCATTTCACAAAAGTTGTAGCCCTTGCAGTTGGCTTTGTAAATCCACTTGAATCAGCTCAATCGGAGGTCGTATGAAGAAGTTATGCGTAAAATACTGAAGGCTGCCACCATCCACTTGATTGCAATTTTTGCTCTTTGTTTGACTTGATTCTCGGCTTCGCTTTCAAAATCGTTTCGAATCGGCAACAATATCTAACAAAACCTTAAAAATGAAATAAAACAAGAAACGCAATAATATATACAAATAACGCCGAAACTCGGACGGATGAAGACCAAAACTCGAAGATTCGATAAGCAAAAATCGTGCAAAGCGAACACTTATCACTCAGCTCAGTCCTCGCTGACGTTGTCTGCTTATTCTGATGCTGACTGGGCTGGTGATCCTACCGATCGACGATCCATCACTGGTTATTGTTTTTTTCTTGGAGATTCTTTGATCTCTTGGCGCAGTAAGAAACAATCTATTGTCTCTTGTTCTAGTACTGAATCTGAGTATCGAGCATTAGCAGACACTACTTCAGAGTTACTATGGCTTCGGTGGTTGCTTACTGACATGGGTGTATCACACCAAAGTGTGCATCAATTATTCATTGTGACAATCAAAGTGCTATTCAGATTGCTCACAACGATGTTTTCCATGAGCGAACCAAGCATATTGAGAATGATTGTCACTTTGTTCGCCATCATTTGATACACAATACTCTTCGCCTTCAGTACATTACGTCCGCTGCCCAAACTGCTGACCTTTTTACCAAAGTGCACCCACCAAATCGATTCAACACACTCGTTTCCAAACTCAATTTGGTCTCTGTTGACCCAACTTGAGTTTGAGGGGATGTTAATATATATTATATCATATATATATGATATCATATATATTATATTCATTATTATGGGATTTGATTAGATATGTTAATATTCTATATCCATAATTTAGGGATTTGATTTGATTAGGTTTCCTTGTATAGCTTGTTATTTTGTGTATATATACGCTCACCTTTATTGAGAAGAATACACATTATTTTCATCTCAAGTGGGAAAAGTGAAATTTACCCTTAATATTGTACTAATTATAGAAAATTTAAAAGGCTGCAAAACCCCAATTATCGAATAATATTTTACTAATTATCTTGTTGGTCAAAATAATCGTTGACTTAAAAACAGTGCAAAAATTCGAAAAAAAATGTCGAGTTTGGGATCGGAGGGGGTTTTGGCGGGGACGACGGACGACAATTTCTGCATGGAGACTGACCCTCCATTAACGGACGACTACGCCACCACCGAGGATTGGCGGTGCGCACTCGGCAAGGTGGTTCCCTCCGTCGTCGTGCTCCGCACAACCATCTGCCGGACATTTGACACGGAGGCCGCCGGCGCATCCCAGGCCACCGGATTCGTGGTTGACAAGCACCGCGGCATCATCCTCACCAATCGCCACGTCGTCAAACCTGGTTCGGCTGCGGCGATGATGATGATGGGCACTTTGATTTTTCTCGTCAACCCTTGTTTGACTTTTTTTTTTTTTTTTTTTTTTTTGCAGGTCCGTTGATGGCGGAAGCTATGTTCGTGAATCGCGAAGAGATTCCGGTGTACCCACTGTACAGAGACCCTGTGAGTTTTTCATAATCTTGGAGACTGAGTTTGAGTTCTTTGAATGATGAGTCAACCCAGGAACTAACTCGGAACTCAGTTGATGAATGATACATTGATGTGTTTCTTGAATGATGATTTTAACCTATGAACTAATCAAATTGAATCAATTGGTATGAATGAGGGATCGACCTCCGAATTTTTCGATTGAGTTTTGTTTGGTAATGGTCTCTCTAGGTACATGATTTCGGCTTCTTCCGCTACGAGCCATCCGCTGTACAGTTTCTGGACTACGACGAAATCCCTCTTGCCCCCGAGGCTGCTCGTGTGGGGCTTGAAATTCGGGTTGTCGGCAACGACAGTGGAGAAAAGGTACGCATAGTTCAAATATCATGGTTAATTGGTGACGTACTAATCCATTGTATATAGAGATACTATAACGTCTGTAGTTATATGCCACTAGTAGTGATTTGTCTATCGTTTTTCGCTTTATGAATTTGCAGGTCTCGATTTTGGCTGGCACACTTGCTCGTTTGGATAGAGACGCCCCGCTCTATAAAAAGTACGTCTCCGTTTGATACTAAAATTTCCGTATCACGTAATTGATGACGAATTTGCCGTTTATGCAGGGATGGTTACAATGACTTCAACACATTCTACATACAAGTAACCGTTCGTATATATGCTTTTAAATGAGTTTTAGTTAGCTTAATTAATCTTAATTAATCCTTGTCTTTTTTCCTTCTTGATTAATCAATACATAGGCAGCTTCCGGAACAAAAGGTGGTTCAAGTGGGTCTCCTGTAATTGACCGGCAAGGTCGAGCAGTTGCCTTGAATGCTGGGGGTAGGACATCCGGCGCTTCAGCATTTTTCTTACCTTTAGAACGAGTGAGCAGACGTATTTTCTGAACCATTTTTTTAATAATAAAAAAAAAAGTTGGTTGAAATATTATTAATGCATCAATTTGGATTTCAGGTTGTCAGGGCTTTGGCAATTTTGCAGAAAGGAAACGACTCTGTGACAAATAAGGCCTCGATTCCTCGCGGTACACTTCAGGTGTGTTAGTTTTTTTTTTTCTTTTTCTTTTCTTTTATAGTTTTGTCTTCATGAATTGGCCTCGATTAACTAATCTGTTATATATAGGCTACATTTATCCACAAAGGATTCGACGAGACACGTCGACTTGGCCTCAGAAGCAAAACCGAACAGGCATATCTCTCTACCATTCCATATTTCCCTATTTTATGCGACGCATTACCAATCAACGGGGACTCACAAATGCCCTTTTTTTTCTTTTTTTCTTTTTTTTCTTTTTTTTTTGTTGTTGTTGCCATTCACTGCATCATCAGATAGTGCGAAATGCTTCTCCACCTGCGGAAACTGGAATGCTCGTTGTCGATTCTGTGGTGAGTATAATTATATCGGTACTTTACCTCTTATCTGGAAAATATATAACAGTCGTTTCATATTTTGTAATCAGGTGCCGTATGGCCCAGCTGATAAGCATTTGGAGCCGGGCGATGTGCTTGTTTACTTGAATGGAGAGGTACACACGACACGTGCTTGATTTCTAAGAGTATTGCTCGTGTTTGTATTTTGTGTTTATATTCTATAGTTTCAGTTAAGAATTCTTTCTTTAGGTTACTACCCAATTTCTGAAGATGGAAAGTTTGCTCGACGACAGTGTCGACTGCAAAGTCGAACTCCAGATTGAAAGGGGAGGCAAACCTTTGACTCTGACATTGACCGTATGTTACTTGTATATTACGTATAAATATACTCGATCCTCTAAAAACAGATCCGATTTAAGCAATAAGGTGTTTTCAGGTTCAGGATTTGCACTCTGTTACTCCCGATCATTTTCTTGAAGTCGGTGGTGCTGTAATACATCCTCTCTCTTATCAACAGGTTGTCGTTTCTCTTCGATTCTTTATAATTAATCCTTCAGAGTTTTTTCTCGTCAATAACCGGCTAATATTCGTTATTGCCATTAACTCCAAACATTTTTTTATGCAGGCGAGGAATTTCCGTTTCCAGTGCGGTCTTGTATATGTTGCAGATCAGGGGTACGATGTATTTCCCTTTTGACTTATTCTAAAGTGTCCCTTTTTTTTCTTTTTCTTTTTCCGTTTCGAATTATGTTTATGTTAAAATTGGTGCCAGTTATTTGCTATCGAGAGCTGGTGTTCCACGCCATGCTGTTATTAAGAAGTTTGGCGGTGAAGACATAACAAGACTCGAAGATTTCGTTTCCGTGTTGTCTAAGGTGTCGAGGGGTGTAAGAGTACCGTTGGAATATATAAGCTATAAGGATCGTCACCGCAGAAAGGTACACTTGTTCTCTTATTAGACTATTATTACACATATGTATATTCGTCTGTATATACTTTGATTACATCTCCAAAAGAAAGTTGGGTGGACTTAATAAAATTATTTTCTTGTTGGCTCTAGTCCGCCATTGTCACAATCGATCGGCATGAGTGGTACGCCCCTCCTGAATTGTACACTCGTAATGATAGTTCTGGGCTGTGGACTATTAGACCAGCTTTGCCGCCAGAATCTCCGCTTCTATCACCACCCTTAACCAATACGGTGGCGGACTTGTCTGCTGCTAGCGTTTTATTACACGACTTTTCCTTACAAGAACCTAGGCAAGAAAGAGATAATCGAGATAATGCAGTACCTGAGCGTGTGATCGAGCCTTCCCTAGTTATGCTCGAGGTAATTTTAATCTTTTTTTTTTTTATTTCTTTTTTCCATGTAGCATACTATATTAATGGCACATACATTTTTTTTGTTGTTGCCAGTGATTCTTTGTTTGATTCATTTTCAAGTACTCTAAGGCCTCGTTTGGTAGGGCAGATTAGCCATGATTAACTAAATAATTGGAGTTTGTTTGATATTTGGTAAACCCAATAATTTTTTGAGTCGACCCGAAAATATTATTTTTTATCATGGCCTATTTTGCGTTTTAGGAAGATTATTTATTGGACATCCCGTGGGGTCCAAACGAGGCCTAAGGAGAGTTTTGGTTTTCCTATATTTGCAGGTTCATGTGCCGTTATCATGCATGCTCGATGGTGTGAACTCGAAGCATTTTTCTGGAACTGGTGTTATCGTTTATCACTCTCAAAATATGGGATTAATTGCAGTGGATAAAAATACTGTAGTTGTATCCGTATCTGACGTAATGCTGTCTTTTGCGGCCTATCCAATCGAAATTCCGGGCGAGGTTCGTGCATCTTCTTCTTCAGCTGAGGCGACTGTTGGTGGGTACTTATGTAAAATCGCTCTACTTGTTTGTCTTTTTTCTCTACAGGTTGTTTTTCTCCATCCTGTACACAATTTTGCGTTTGTTGCGTATGACCCTTCTGCCCTTGGACCCGGTGCTTCTCTAGTTCGAGCTGCCCAACTTCTCCCTGGTACGAATAAATAAATAAAACTGAGTGAAGGCATCTTTCTTTTTAGCAGTATCCCTATTTTTTATATCGATTTTTTTTTAAATAATATTAATAATAATAATTGGAAATCGTGACTCAGAACCTGCATTATGTCGTGGAGATTCTGTATATCTAGTGGGATTGAGTAAAAGTCTACAAGCAACTTCAAGAAAATCGTTTGTCACAGATCCTTCTGCTGCTCTTGATATCGGCTCGAGCCACTCTCCAAGATACAGAGCGACCAATATGGAAGTAATCGAGCTCGATTCTGGCAAGTCTCGGAAATCAATATTTTATTATATATATATATAATATATTTGAATTTATTTGCCATTTAATTCTTGTTTATGCACAATACGTTTTTTCAGATTTCGGTAGTAAGTTTTCTGGTGTACTTGCGGACGAGCTCGGAAGGGTTCATGCTATTTGGGGAAGCTTTTCGAATTACGTTTGTGATTTTTCTTCTTTTGTTTCCGCTTCTCGAGTTTTTCGTTATCTGGTTTTTACGTGCAAAAACATAGTCTAAAAGGGTAATTCAAACTGCAGGTCAAATACAATTCTAGTTTGTCCGATGGGCAGCATCAATTTGTTCGAGGTATTCCAATTTACGCAATAAGTCAGATCCTTGACAAAATTGTATCCGGCGCGGATACTGGCCCCGTTCGTCTCGTAAACGGAATCAAAAGGAATATGCCACTCGTAAGAATTTTGGAGGTTGAACTTTTTCCGACTTTGCTTTCTAAAGCTCGTAGCTTTGGCCTGAGCGACACTTCGATCCAGGTAACCAACATCTCTTTGTATAATTATTCCCAAATATTTCCTATAATAGGTTTTGAGATGAATATCGGAATTTAAATCGAGGTGTGAGTTCTTATTAATAAACAGGCACTGGTTAATAAAGATCCAATGAGGCGTCAGGTTTTGAGGGTTAAGGGTTGTTTGGCAGGATCGAAAGCTGAAAATGTACTCGAACAAGGCGACATGCTTTTGGCTATCAATAAAGATCCCGTTACATGCTTTCGTGACATCGAAGACGCTTGCCAACAATTAGACCGCTGTAATCAAACCAACGGAGTTCTCACACTCACAATTTTCCGTCAGGTCTATTTATCAATCAATTTTTTTTTTTTTTTTTTATTATCTATTTTAATTTATTTATGCTTGTATATATTTTATTTGTTTGTTATATTAATTAATTAATTAATACGGTATTTTCAGGGCCGTGAGATTGAACTAGCGGTGGGAACGGATGTGAGGGATGGGAGTGGGACCACACGCATGATAAATTGGGGTGGTTGCGTAGTGCAGGACACTCATTCTGCCGTTCGAGCTCTCGGATTTCTGCCTCAAGTAGGGCATGGTGTATATGTTGTGAAGTAAGGCTTTTTCGCGAGTCGAAAAGTTACTTAATATGCTCGTTTAAATTATTATTTATTATTTATTATTTATTATTTATAATTTATTATTTATTCAGGTGGTGTCATGGGAGCCCTGGAAATCGATATGGTTTGTATGTTACGCAATGGATCGTAGAAGTAAACGGGAAACCGACTCCAGATTTGGATGCATTTTCCGCTGTTACGAAGGTAGGTATATGATGTCCCTTTAATTATTAATTTTGCAATAAAGGTTTCGTTTCGGAATTTTTTTTAATAAAATTAAAATTGGGAATAGGAAATTGAACACGGCGAGTTTGTTCGTCTGAACACAATATACTTGAGCGGGAAGCCTCGAGTGCTTACACTGAAGCAGGATTTGCACTACTGGCCCACGTGGGAGCTGAGGTTTGATCCTGAAACTGCAATGTGGCGTCGAACGACAATTAAAGCTCTCGAAAGTTCCATTGTTTGATTATCAATGTGTAATCTGTATATATATATATATATATATATATATATATATATATATATATATTATTTTTTTTCATCAAACATTTATTTAGATGACGATTATTCTGTACAGAATTAAGACCAGTAGCTATCATATGTTGTGATAAAAAATATAATTATAATTTTTTTTTTGCTTACACTAACCTTTTTCTCTTGAGGGTTAATATCAGTGAATGCCATTGATTTATTAAAATTACATTTGTTAACCCCTACTAAATTTTGGAAATTACATATACTCCTCTTTCTCTTCAGGGTTAGTGCCATTGTAATTTGTGGAAAATTAGGTACAAATATTTGGAAGAAAAAATACGATTTTCAGATATAGGCTATAGCTAATTATTGGAAAATGTTTTTTTTTTCAAGGTTTGATAGAAAATGTTTAATAGATAAAAATAGAATATATGAAAAGCTAGAGGACCAAGAAGCGAATAAATCGTAAATCAAAGGGTAAACCAATAAAAGAGTGTCGTGGACTGAGAATCGATCGACGGGCTTCCTTCCATCTCCGAAATCCCTTCCAAAAATAATGATTTCAGATAAAATATTTTTTTGTGATAAAATATATCATTTTTAAATACCAATAAAAATATTAAATTACATTTATTAGCTTTAAAAACTCATGTGGCTGTGCACTATGCATCATATATTGTGTTACAAGGGTGCAAAGTGATATTAATTTATTTCGAGAGTGCAAAGTGTCAAAATTGTATATTTCAAGGGTCCAAAGTGGGATTAAGCCTTATTATTATTATCTTTTTTAAAACAAAAATTTATCTAAATATAGCTCATTATTGGAAAATGTTTTTTTCCCGAGGTTTTATAGAAAATGGGAAAATTACAGTGTTCGACCCTCAAGTTTGCACCAATTTTGTATTTGGTTCCCACGTTAAAAAAAACACAATTGGCCCCTCATTTTTTCGTGAACATGAGGGACCAAATATGGAATCAATTCAAACTTGAGGGATAAAAACTGTAATTTTCCCGATAGAAAATGTTTGACAGATAAAAATATAATATATGAAAAGCTAGAGGACCAAGAAGTAAATAAATCATAAATCAAAGGGTAAAACCAATAAAAGAGTTGTCGTGGACTGAGAATCGGCCGACAGGCTTCCTTCCATCTCCGAAAATCCCTTCAAATTGAATTTGCCGTCGAGAAATTTCCTTCCCCCAAAATTAGCCGGAGAAAAAAATGAAGCGGAAAAAATGGTCAGAGGTGGAAGAACAATCTCTGCTGTCGAAGTACTCGGACCTCCTCAACTCCGGCACGCTGCCGAAGCTAAAGACCAGGGAGAAGAAGTTCCGACCAATCGCCGACCACGTCAATTCCGAGCACCACCTCCAAGACCCGATCACGTTCCCCTTCAAGTGGTCGTGGCGTGACGTGTCAATCAAAGTGCAGAACATGCGCCACCAGTATCTGGGCGTGAAGCAGAAGATCCGGATCTCCAACAGCGACTTCAATTGGGATGATGGAGAAATCCACTGGGTCAATTTCTTGAAGTACAAGCAAGTCTTCGGCGACATCGAGCTCTCCGACACCGCCGGTAAATCGGTCGGCGCGAAATTCGGCGACGAGGGCATTTCGGGTATTTTGGGATATGATGTGGGCAGTGAGGAGATTGAGGATGATGAAGAAGTGTACGAGGAGGAGGAGGAGGAAGAAGATGGGGAGGAGGAGGGGGAGGAGGAAGAGGGGGGTGATTTGGGGGCGAGCGATGGGGGCGAAAGGGGGGCGAAAGAGGGGAATGAAGAATTAGGGTTTAACGAGGGGAAGAAATGGAGAAAGGGGAAAAGATTAAGAATTGTGGGTGCTAAAGTATTGGAATTGAGGGATGTGATTATGAGGAGAGAGGAGAGATGTAGAGAGAGAGAGTGGAATAAAGAGACGGAAGCGATGGAGAACGAAGCGGGTAGAAACGAGAGGGAAATGCGGATGAAGAAACAGATCGAAGATAGGGAGGAAGGGGTTTTGGCAAAGGAGATGGAATTGGAGGAACTGCAGGTGAATTGGAGGAAGAGGGAACTGGAGAGAAGTACGCGGTTGGAGAGAGAGCTCGAACTGGAGAGGAGGAGAAGGAAGAAGCGCGAGGAGAAGTGGGAGGAGGAAGAGATGGAGTGGAGGGAGAGATTGGTCGGAATGCAGACGGAGCACGAGAAGCAGATGATGCAAATGCACGCGGATTCTTGCCAGAACCAATTGCAGATTCTTGGGGTGGTGGCTCGGATTCTGTGTCAGTTTTTCGGGGGGGCCAGTCACGATGGATTGGGGGCGCTGACCCCTCAGGTCGTTTTGCAGCATCCAGGTGGCGGGTTGAGCGATAACGGGGGGAAGGCTGATGCGGCTTCGCCCTCTGAATTTTTGTAGATATGTGCTGATAAAAGGGGTATGATTGGGTTTTTGTTTTAGTGTGTCCATATATCTGCATAATATGTATTGAGATATAATCTTAAGAAGTGGCTAATTGGATTTGAGGCAATATAAATATTTGATGTATATGCAGTGGAGTGTGTATATGAATGTGTGAGTGTGAGTTTTTGAACGGCACTGAACTGCCGGAACGGAACGGGAATGGTGCCCTCCGTTCCGGAAACCATACCAAACTGTTCCACAACAAAAAAATGTTGCAAAACGGGCAAAAAATGGCCGGAACACCGGGACATGGCAATAAATCTGATGGTCGTGGTTGTCACGTGTACCGGAACGGTCTGGAACGGGATTGGAACGGCATGGATCATCATAATTTATTTTTTCATGTCTCCAATTTAAGGATCTCAAACCAGAATTTTAGGTTTTAATTAAAATTTTTGGGTAAATTACAATCACCCCTGGGGTATGGTAAAATTACGAAACCCCCCCTCATGTTTGGTTAATTACAACAAGCCTCCTCAACTATAAATTTTCTTACACGTCCACCCTTGCGGTTTCAAATTTAGTGGAATTTTCTTGATTATATGGAATACTATCACTTTTGTACCCTGTTTTATCAAATTCGAGCTCCACATTTTGAAGCAAGATGATCGTAAGATGTGTTTTTTGGCTTGTATATATCAGATTGTTGTGTATCAGAAACTGTATTTTTACACAAAACGAGTACAAACTAGAGCACATTCCACGGAATCTAGATGATTATGATGAATTTGACACCATAAGGATGGATGTGTAAGAAAAATCATAGTTGGGGATAGATGTAATTATAATTTATCCATTCCGGCAGCGATGTAGCCGCGATGTTGTAATGGAACTGGAACTGCGGTGTTCGCAGCGACAGACCGCGACGTTTCGGGGAACCATGTGTGTATCAGCTGTTTCGGGAGTATATGTTTGCTGAAATTGGATTTGAGACTATAATTTAATTATTCTCTTACAAAATGCTTTTTGTCCATGGGGAAAATTTATTGTTCAATTTTGGCTTAATCTTTGAAAAAAAATCATTGGATTTTGTGATTTGTATATCAGTTAAGAGTATACATTCTCATTTGAAAAGTGAATTTCTGCATATCAACTTGACTCACAGTACCTAACTGCCACCCTTAATTTCAACCTTGGGTCAAAATCGTATTTTTCAAACATTTGACATCTTATGATTAAACAAAATAAACTATGATAAACAAAACCACAATCTCAAACAAATCACCCATTCATTTATCCAAAAACAAGCAAAAACAAAATAGAACATAATAATAATCCAAGAATATTTGATAAACATAAGAGAAAATAATAATAATAATAATAATAATCTTAAAGTTGGGTTGTCGTTGGAGTGAACCAAACAGGAGACGGCACAATCCTTCTTATACTAACCTCGTCAACGGGATAATAGCACGACGAAACAGTCCGATCTCGGTAGTTGAAAATGCCTACATCGTGGCCGCCATAGATGCCGTTATCCCAATACGGCGGACTAAAAACATCCGTAAAATAAATAGAATCGGGCTTCAATTCCGGGTATTCACTGGCCCGCAATGCAAACGAATAGTTGGGGCCGACAAACATGGCGAGCCCGTCCAACGAGCCACCGTCCATGTAACTCAACTCCCCTTTCTCAAGATCAACTCTATGTACATCGAAACCAACAGTCCTGTACGGATTACTGAATTCGTAGTCGACTTCGTCGCTCGGGCTGTTATAGTAGAGCATAGAGAACGACCGTATTGTGTCCTTGACGAAGCGCCTCACATGGTAAAGTTGGTCGGTTTCTTCGTCTATGACAAGGTATTTCCTAGAGACGCACGACCTTTTGAGATTCAGCTCCTCCTCGGAGCTGGCGGCGCGAGGGTAGTTGTTTTTGTCTGACGAGAGGATGACAGGAGTCATGGTTGGAGAATGTGGGTCCCGGAGATCCCAAGCCTCGAAATCGCCGAAAGCGGTGACGCAGTAGAAGAGGTTTTGTTTCGGGGAGTAGACGAAATCTTCGTAGTTCCTCCCGTAAAGGTGGTCGTCGAGTTTTAGGTGTGTTTCGCCGATCGGAGTCCAATAGCCGGAGGTGTGGCCGGGGCAGCAGAAGGCCAATCGATTTCCCACGTTGTAATTCATGAGGGCGCGGCAGTCTTGGTCGTCGGGGGTGGAGGAGGAAATGACGACCCTGGTTACCCACTGAGTGTGGTGGCTGTGGAAACCTATGTTGTTGCCCTGGAGGTTGTAGATGTTGACGGATGGGAGTTCGATGTGGCGGCGCGTGAGTGGGTTATAGAGGATTAGATCGTCGAAAGTGGTTGATCTGTTGAATAGGCACAGCCACCCGTGCGAAGATCCGACCACTGCCGCGTCGTCGTCCAGCAATTCGTCTGATAACGTCATAGGTTTTTTGATAGTGACTACTTTGTCTTGGGCGATGCTGTAGAAATTGTAAGCCGTCATTTTTTCAGTTTCTTCATCAAAAGATGGTGGCAACATCAGCCACGGCGAACTCGATACCGCCGCCGCCGCCGCCGATTTTGGAGGAGAAGGCCAATAGGGAGATCCGGAATTCGAAATTCGAATTGAAGACCCAATTTGCGACCGACGAGGAAAGAAACGGATCCGAGATCCGACGGCCACCGTTGGAGAGGGCCAATTTGCAGATACTACGGCGGCGTCACATTTCCACTGAACCAAACGGAGTACGGATGAAGCCGCCATTAATCACTGAAAGGATAGACGAATTATTAGTCTCAAGGGAAAAAGTGAAATAAACCATTCTAGGGTTTACATTACATCTTTTCCAAAGATAGCCACACGGCTACATAAATGCTTCCCAAATTACCTAGGGTTACACACATATATATATACATAAACCTAATTCTAAAAATCAAGTGTCGCCGGCGCATACAGAAACAAATAAATGGCTTTATCTATTGCAGGTTTGGTTCAATGGAGAGGTGAATTTGCCGCCGGTGTCGGATCTCAGTACCGTTTCATTCCTCCCGGCGGCGGCGGATCTACAATTCGGTTTACTCGTAAAGAGAGTTTCGTCGGGTTGTCTTCAATTCGGTTTTCTCGCAAAGAGGAGAAATATGTGTTGGGTGGTGGTGGTGGTGATGACGTGTCAACAACAAGATGGCCGGCTGCGGCGGCGGCGGCGCCGCCATCGCCATGGCTGGTGCTACCACCTTCCTTGGAAAAAGAAACGGAAGAAATCTGTTGGAATTTCTACATGGTTGCAGAGAACAGAGTCGTGAAGATAAAGAGGAAAACAAAAAATAATAGATTGCCACCTGCGAACATCGTTGGATCTTCACACGGCTGGCTTGCTTTAGATTTCAAAGCCAGACAAATTCTGTGGAATCCCCTCACGTGCGACCGTATAATTCTACCGTCCATTGAGTCCTTACCGGTGGTAAAGAAAGATCCAGATTTCTATTTACCTATGAGAAAGCTCATCTTATCGTGCTCCCCCGACGATGAAGACGAAGACTGCATCGCTATGATGAGCTACGATCTCAACGAGAGGCTTGCTTTTTGCCGCCTCTCCCCCCGCGGCAGCGGCCCCACTGAGTGGACCCCGATCGGAAAACCCTTCATTGAGCTCGACGACAAGACTTTTGAGAGGAACTACCGGGACTTTGTCTACTCCGCCAAACGCAAACTCTTCTTCTGTGTTACGGACCACGTGGAACTCGAGGCTTGGGATCTGCGGGACCCACATTCCCCTCCGAAGATGATTCTGCTTCGCGGCTATTTGAATCCGGACAAGGAAGAAAACCACCCATTTGGCTCCGTCGGAAAATTGGACGAGTGCGAACTCAAAGAAATGTACGGATCCAAGAAATGCCTCGTAATCTGCGAGCAGACCGATCAACTCTTTCTCGTCCGTCGATACGTCGCCGATCGTAAGCCAGCTCACTATTATACTCCCCCTCCCCCGGGTTTTCCTTACCACACTGTATCTTTTGACGTTTACGAAATCGACATTGAGAAACGGGAATTGAAGTACATGGAGGATTCGTTAAACGGGCTTGCCATGTTCGTCGGGCTCAACCATGGGTTTGCCATCAAAGTAGAAGAAGGAGGACTTATTAATCCGGATTCTATTTACTTCACCGATGCAAAAGAGTATACTCCGAATTATTGGGACGATGATCCGAAAATTGGTGGACATGATATCGGGGTGTTTGATTACGCAAAACGGGATTTCTATCCGTGCTATAACTATCCCATTGAGAAAAGAACATTCTCCTCCACCCTTCGCCTCACACGCGCCGCCTCTGGAGCCGACAAGATCAAGAGGATTGTGCCACCACCAGTGTGGTTCCTTCCCTCGTCGTCTGCCGATGCTTCTCTCTCTATTAGCAACGGCGAATCTTCTACTTTATAATTATTTCGTCTCACCGGATTTAGCAATGGTTAGTTATCTCTATTAACATGTGTTAGATCACTATTGTTAAATTTCTCCAACTTAAATGTTTTAATTAATGCTTAAAGTTCATTGTTTTTCTTATGTGTTCAATCATCAACGCATGGGGATCTATTTTTGAAGTAAAACAACTATGACTGTGTATTTTGTAAACTGTTTATTTTATTTTATTTTGCAAAGTGCCAATGGACCATAATTCAAGGATGTAAAATGGCAAAAACTCATTTTTTTTTTAATGTGAATTTGGTTTAATCTCACTTTACACTCTTGAAATATAGTATTGAGCACCTTGCACCTTTGAAATATAGTATTGAGGCACTTTGCATCATAGATAATTACTAATAGCACTTTGCATCCACGATATACTATAAATCATTCATAATGCACCTTAAATTGGATATTTAATACTTAATGAGGGTACTATCATTTTTTATTGATTTTTTTTTATTTCTAGGGTGCAAAATAAGAAATTAAATTGCTAGTTTCTTCTACCTCTTAACATATATTCGAGCACACAAAATGCAAAAAGAAAAACAAAAATCACAACGAATTACTAAAAAAGAAGACTATAATTTATTATCAAATAAAAACTTTTCTCACTAACTTATCCGATTGATGGATCTTTTATTCCAATTAGTGAAAATATTTGGTAGAAAATATCATTTCCAAATAACTTGATAATGAAATAAATAGCTGAACAATTTTTGTTTTTTTTTTTTGTTTGTAAAATATTATTTTGTAAAAAAAATATACATATTGATGAGATATATTTTTATTTTTGCACTTTATAGTTCAAAAGGATAAATATGATTTGACACTCCGCATTCTAAAATAATATCACTAAAAATATTAAATTACTTGCATTAGCTTTAAAAATTCACTAGGATTTTTTCCCCCGTGCGATGCACGGGATAATATTTAAACAGTGAAAAAAGAATCAATTTAATACGTAATAAGAAAATATAGTACACTAATATAGTAAAAATAAATAATGTAGTATTATTCATATTTTATATAACATTAGTTTTTTTAAATCTTACATATTAAGATTTACAATCCAAATAAATAGATTAAGATTTAACAAATTGAATTTCTAGCTTTATCTCTTATGATTTGAGATATATTGAAAAAAAATAGGAGACTAATAATTGTTGAAAATTATAGTTAAAATTAGTAGAGAAAGTAGAGAAAAATATTAAAAATAAATAATCACAGAAATACCATTAGGGTTTTTTAGGCTTGCCCAACGTTTATTTCTTTTATATATAAGATTTGATGTGTACTATACATGATTTATTGTGTTTTAAGTATATAAAGTACTAAAATTACATATTTCAAGGATGCAGACGTATTTTTCGGCCTATTTAACTAACTTAATGTATTATATAAAACATGATTTTGTCAATATTTTTGCTATTTAACGTTGGTATACCGGAAGTTAGGAGGGTCATTTAAGGATCCAAAAAGTTTGGCTTTGTCGGTCAAAATTAACTGACGGGGGTTGGGGTGGGGTTGGGGTTGGATGAGGTGTAGTTAATCGCACAATAATTAGTATTTTACACCTTTTGTGCTGTAAAATTAAAAATAAACACAATAATATATTATATTTCTCATTTTACAAAAAAATACATTAAGCTTTTCATTTTATAGAATAATTATTATTAAATTAAAACAAGAACTTTTGACTTGATAGGGCTAATTTAGTCTTTTCCAGTTTTCTATTCAAGGGGGTTATATGCTAATTTCATACTATAAGGGGGTTATGTGCAAAATTTCAAAACTGCAAGGGGGTTATGCGCTTAATTTCATACCATAAGGGAGTCATTTGCAAAAAGTCAAAACAACAAGGGGGTTATGTGCCTAAATTGATACTTTAAGGGGGTCATGTGCAAAATGTCCAAAGCACAAGGGGGTTAAGTGCTATTTACCCTTTATTTTTTGTCTATGTTTTTCCAATTTAAACCAGTGTTCTAAAAATCGGCCGAGGCGGCCGATTAATCGGTCTCCGAGGCGGCAGTCCAAAACCTTTACGATTTTAGTGTAAAGGTTTGAAAAATCGGTTTTTTGCCTGTGAGGCGGTTTTAGACGGTCTGAGGCGGTCCGAGGCGGTCTGAGGCGGTCAAACCTTTAAGGCGGGTCAAACTCGGTAGCAAAAATCGGTCAAAAATCGGTTAAAAATCGATTTTTTTTTCTTTTTATAATTCAAAATAAAAGTTGGATTTTAATAAAAGAAAATATGAGTTTATGCCTTATTTTGTTTATGTTAAGTTTTATTGTTAAATAACTAATGATCTATGCCACGAATGTTCAAGAATAAATGTAAATTAAAAAAAAATGTTTTTTTATTTATATTTTATAAGAATATTTATGTATTATGATATGAGTATTAAATTTTTATTATATTATTAGGATATATACATGATGGAGATATAATTATTTTTAAATATCTTTTTATATATGTTTGGAGTATTTATATATAATATTTAGAAATATATTATATTAAATTTTAAAAATTGATTTATTTCCGATTTATCACCAATTAATCATCGCCGCACTAATTAATCGTGAGTCGGTGCCTGACCGACTCGGACCCGATTACCGCTTTTTACAACCTTGATTAAAACCAAATTTTTTTTTAATACAAAACTAAATTATTAAACATTATAGTTGGAGCACAATACAAAACTCAATAAATTACATATACGTATATAATAGTAAAATAAATTAAAATTTAAAAGGGGCCATGGCCCCCGCCCGTACATTGGTTTCCCACTAAACAAAAAGTCCTTGATTTAAAATGTTGGGTGTTTTTGTTTTATGGATTAGTAGCTAGTACTTGACGTGAAGTGAAATAACACAAGAATATATTAATATGAACAACTGTTGGCGCCATATTTCCGGCTATTGAAGATCGAGGAAATCCGCCAAGTTTTGGAATTAAAATATTGGCAAATATTTGTTTTCCATATTTATTTTGGAATTTATTAGAGTCCTATTCTTATAATACTTCTATTAGGACTTAGATTTATTTCCATGTATTTTATTATAGTTAGGTATCTTTTGTACTTATCTAGAATAGAAGTAGAAATCAACTAGAGAGAGACACGGAGTTCGAGTTGTAGAGAGAGACACGGAGTTCGAGTTGTAGAGAGAGACACGGAGTTCGAGTTGTGTACAAGAACGGCATAAAATTAAAGAGGGAGTCTTTGTTATTTTTAATAAGTCCTATTAATGTACACTTGGATGTAGGGCACATTTGTGTCTGAACCACATTAATGTCTTGTGTTTATTTAGGGGAAATTGGCTAGACACCCCTTATTCTGGACTTATATAGGTGGGGATCCTAATTGTTAGATGAATATAGGTTCAGGTCCTTTAATAAAATAAAATAATATAAATAAAATCAAATAATTAGTACATTTACATAAAACACCCTTAATTAAAAAGAAAGTAAATCCCATATATCACTTTCATTTTCTCTCCAATCTCACGTATATCTCTCTCTATATATCTAATTTGTCATCTATCTTTTCTTCTCTATCTCGTATCTCGCTCTCCATCGTTTCTCTCTCTTTTTTTTTTCTTTTTCCGACTCTTCTTTTCTGTTTTAGTTTTTTTTTCCAATAAGCATGTTTTCGACAAGAAATTCTAATCAATTTATTACTTTCTTCCCTTTTTCGATTTCGATTTCTTTTCTTTCTTGTTGAATTCTGTCATAGCTAGAACCTTCAACAAACTATAACAAAATATTCTTTGTTTGTTTTTTGGTTGTGGGACATTTTGCTGTTATTTGTTTGGGAAAATCGTTTGCTATTTTGGAGACCTTGTTTGTTATTTGTTTTTAATTTCTACTTCTCCAGTAATTACGATGGAAGGCAATTCAGAAGATTCTCGCCTCGATCTTGGGTGATGTTTCTACGGAAATTGATCTACGAGATTTTGATGCACCTTTTCATCGGCGTTCGAAATTCACCTTCTGCTTCGTCCCCAACAATATCTCCGTCTCGGTCCCTACCATTCTCGCCGAGGGCTTCGACGGGTTGCACTCAATTGATTGGGTTCACTGCGTCGATGGCGGCCATATGGTTTTTAACGGAGTTAGGACTGGCGGTAAGGGATTTGGGTGAGTACCTCGGTTTTTTTTCGTTGTTTTTATTTTGCATTTTGCAATTCATGTTACATATTGTTTCTCGTTTTGAATTTTTTCCTCAGTTTGATGTTTGCATTTGGAGAAGTCATAGATAATAAAGCAAATTCTGGATTTTTTTTTACCAATTTGTTGTTTTTCGGCTGAATCATTGGTATTTTGTTGTTTGCAATTCAATAATACAAATTATAATATTAAGTTTGCTATTTGCAGTTCACGAAGTCATAGGCGTCATTTGCTATTTGCAGTTCACAGAGTCACATGCCTCAGTTTGCTATTTGCAGTTCACGATAGACGGTGGCACAACGGTGGTGTCGTTTTTAGAGTATGAATTTGTACAATAAATAGTATATTTTTTTTTTACTAATTTCTTTATTTTTTTTATTATATTTTGCAAGAGAGATGTTTGTGAATTTGTTTTGGTAGAGAAATTTTTAAGGGATTTGATTTGATCTGGCTAAGGGTATTTTTGACACAATAAATATTATTAATTTATTAAATTATGGAAATTTTGACTTGGATTTATACACATAAATAATAAGATAGAGGGACCTATAGCAAATTGCATTTGCTTTAAGTAGTTTATAACTGTGTTAACACAAGAATTATAATTGTAATCGAATACTGTTTCCACAACTTAACTGTTACTACTTAGGTTAATTGATTTCTATAGGCATATATAAATCTACAACAACCATTCCAAGTCAATCAGATATGCTTCTAAATGATTCTTCTCTACTCTTCCTCTTCATAAATAGCTTCCTCTTCCTCATCTGACTTGCAATTTGCAACGGATACACACACACACACACACACACACACACACACACACACACACACACACACACACATGCACGCACATACATATGAGGAAGAAAAACGACAAGAATAAGAACAACATGAAAGAGGCTAAATGGACGGAGCAAGAAGATCAGAAATTGATTGATAGTTGCGAAGTCTGCTCGAAGATCACCCGTCTCTCTCTCTCTCTCTCTCTCTCTCTCTCTCTCTCTCTCTCTCTCTCTCTCTCTCTAATGATGTAATAATATGATGAATGCGAAGCGTAGGGGTGAAGCGGTACTGCGGGAAGAAGAAGCTAATTAGGCGACGCAACTTTGGCGTAGACGAAGAAGACCTCATCATCAAGCTCCATGCGCTCCTTGGCGATCGGTATGCAAGCAAACAATTAACCCCCTATTTTATAATATTTACTTTTTAATAGTATTGAACTATGTGGAGATAATCTTTTTAAGTTATAGAATAATTGTTTTTAACTCTTATCGAGTCGTCGTCGTTGTATGTAGAAGATTTAACTTGAAATTGAATTCTTAAAATCGTTTCACTCAAATCTTTACTTCCGCATGCACACGCACGTATATTATATATACATCGGGTTTTGATTTGAATTTGACGATCATGCGTATAAAGAGTAGACGGATATGCAAAATATTTCCGCATACCACATAATTTAAATACAAAAACATGACGTATAATAAGTATTTATATTTCTTATGATCAATATAATGTTGTCATATTTAATCTTTTGTGATGAATATAATCGCCTGATTTATATATGTATCGGTTTTTTGTATGCTTTAAGGTGGTCTCTGATAGCGGGGCGGCTGCCAGGTCGGACGGAGAATGAAGTAAATAAGTACTGGAATTCACACGTTCGGAGAAAGCTCAAAAGTGCAGGCATCGACCCAAACAACCACCGCGTGGACCAAACCCTAATTATAACCTCGTCATCATCCACCACTTATAATAACCCTAATTGTATTTATGACGATAATAACACTAAACCATTTGTCTCGATAAATAAATCACCGGAAAACTTGCCCGAATCTCGTCACTTGAATATGAATCTCACTGTTGCCTCTTCTTCTTCTTCTTCTTCTTCTTCTTCTTCTTCTTCTTCTTCTTCTTCTTCTTCTTCTTCTTCTTCTTCTTCTTCTTCTTCTTCTTCTTCTTCATCTAGTTCTCGATAATACTCTCGTTTCTTGAAAAACGAAGAGGATAACGTCGAATTCGGGGCGGATATTGAAGCTCATGAAAACCAGGAAAAACCTACATTGGTTCTCTTAATGAATAACCTATATATGAATTCCATCTTTGCTGAAATTATTTTTATAATGTGAATTTTTTGTGTTGTGAAATTGGCCAATTATTAAAGTATATATATTAAATTAAGGTCGAAATGTTACATATAATATTTGGATTTTGGAGGTACATGTTTGAAAGTTGTTGATTGTTGCATATATGGTTGGAGTGCTTTTTAAGGTTGTGTCTTCAAATTTCATTGCTGTCTTTGGCTAATTTTTTATTTACTTTTGGCATTTTTACACTTGGAACTTTATAAAAATTGATTATTGTTTAACAAAACTATGGTAGTAAGACAACGTTGAAATTGTAACGTTTGAGAAAATAATGAACTTTAAACTAACAAAATTGTGAGTATTTCTTTAAAAATATGAGATACTCTAAATCGAAATAAAAATATGTTGCCTAAAATAATAACAAATCTCATGAATTTTTCTCATATCTTTCTTTATAAACTATTACCTAGACTTCCTAATGGGGAGAATTATATGCTACACCTGATTATATATACCCCACACCAGATGCTTGTTAACCGTAGCTGAGGTTAAATAACCATCCACATCCACTAAGCACGCATACACACGTATGCGTGTGATGTGATTATGTCCAAAAAATTGAAAATTAATGCGGTCAACATGCCACATCAGCTTCGACTGGCAGAATAACTAACTACTTGGGAGTTTTTGTAGTTTTTGATACTACAGAGGAGTGAACGTAACATTTTCGATAGTACATGGGTGCAAAATATATTTACCCTAATTTTTATGTAAAAGGCACGAAAAAGACCTCTTCTTTGTTTTTTTCTTTTAAAAGCCACGTAAGCAAGATTATCAACTACTATGTTTTGTAATCAAAGGATTCAGTTTTCCCACTTCACTATCATTCTTTAATTCTTTAGTGGCCCAGAAATCCCCACTGATTCAAACCCCAATTCTATGATTTCATCACATCCACATATAGATATATACTATATAATTATCTCCACCTGTATGTATCTGTATCTCTACAGGAATATTTATGGGGAACGGCATCGGAGGGTCGAAGAAAAAGGCCAAGATTATGAAAGTCAACGGAGAAACGTTCAAGCTGAAGGTGCCGGCGACGGCCACGGACGTGCTGAAAGATTATCCGGCGGGTTACGTTCTGCTCGAATCGAAAACAGTGAAGAGATACGGTGTCCGGGCCCCCGAATTAGAGCCCGGGGAGGAAATTAGGCCCGGGAAGACTTACTTTCTGCTGGAGATGCCCAAATTTCCGGAGCCCCGAACGAGAAGGTCCAGATCCGTGGTGTATAGGAGCGGCGCCGAGGAGCGGCTTGATGGGTTGATGCTGAGGCGGCAAAAGTCGTCGGCTCTTGAAATGGTTTCCGGTTCGGGTTTGGGTTTGGGTTCGGGTACGGGTTCGGATTCGGTTCGGGTCAGGTTGAGGATACCGAAGGCCCAGATGGTGAAGATGATGAGAGAGAGTAAAGATGAAGGAGAGGTGACTGAGAGAATTGTTGATCTTTGTTTGCAGAAATCTAGGAGTAGTAATAATGGATCACAATCTGTCTTCAGCCATTGACAAAATGTTTGTATGTAATTGTGTATGGTGTTTTTGTTTCATAAATACTGTGTGTGTGCGCTTTTTTTTTTTTTTTTTTTATTAAATCATCATTGTAAGTGTTTTTTGATACAAAATTGTCCAGAAAATTTGGTGAAATTTCTTTTTTATTAAAAACATTAGTTGGGTGGATTTGTTAGCACTCTTTTCGTTTGTGAGCATTTTTGCAATTTTCAGTGAAAATTACGGCCACCTCACGAGGTAAGTACAAAATTTACGAAAAAAAAAAATTATGTATGGATTACAATCACCATCTCATTTATGAATTTTCTTACACGTTCACTTTTGTGGTATCAAATTTAGTGGAATTTTCTATATTATGTCTAATATTCTCCAGTTTGTATCAACTCGTGTTACCCCATTCGATATCCACATTTTGAACAAGATGATCATAAGATGTGTCTCTTGACTTGTAAATATCAGAATGTGGTTCATCGGAAACTCATTTTTGCATAAAAAAAACGAGTACAATCTATTGAATTTGACCCCATAAGGGCGGACGTGTGTAAAAATTTATAGTTGATGGGCAGTGACGAGATCAGGAATGTGATACAGGGAGGGCTTAAATTTTCGAGGGTACGGGGGCAGCACCCCCAAAAAGAATTTAGGACTTTTTTGTGACAATAAAAAATAGGAATAAAAAAGAAGAAAAAAAGGGTTTTTTGCAAAATTTTGAATTTTGGATGGACTAATTAATAATAATTGAAAATGTTTTTGCATTAATTTGAATTTTAGGTGGACTTAATTAATAAATATTGAATGAGCTTAATAGATATACATGTATAATATGAGAATATTTTTTGTAATTTAAGTGTGGGCTTAAGTCCGCCCTCTCAAAGGAGTGGACTCTCCCCTGTTAATAGGTGATTGTAATCAGTCAAATACGGAGAGTTTTTTTTTTCGTAATTTGACCCTACCTCAGGTCGGTGACAGTAATTTATAAGTACTAATTTACACCAAATGCATATGTTTTACTCTCTATTCCACCATTTTCTTTTTGAATTTTTTTCTAGTTTGATTTCATTTTGGTTAAAGAGAAGTCAATCATCATCTGAAATTGACCAATACCAAGATAATCATTATTTTACTAGTTATGTAATGAAGTGAAAAGTATAGAATTATATTATAAAGTTTGACATTTTTTTAATATTGCATATTACAGGCGTATTTGCAAACAAAACGTCAAAACCACGCCTCATAGTGGAATTTCTTCTTATATTATAATTAGAGCGCAATTTGAAATATATTTACTTTAAGAAAACAATATTTTAATTATTTAATTACGTTGACTTTGGTAAAGGATTGAGCGTTGGAAGAGGGACCCAATTAATTCAGTTATTTGCACGTTGCACCAAATACTTCTTCTTTTTGAATAAATCAAACAAAAAACGTTAATAAAAAATAAATGTAAATATAATATAATATTTCGAAATAATGCCAAAATTAAAATTGACGGATTTTAAAATCAGATCGGCCGTACGGCGGTGGAGATCGACTTACTCCGGCAGAAGATTACCGTCGGAGTCGTACAAAATCCTGCCGGAAAAACTCAAGGGGCGGCACTTCTCCCCTCTAATAATCGTCTTCTTCCAAATAGCGCCGCCGTCTTCATCAAACCCTTCCGCTCCGCCGCCGCCGCCGCCGCCGTGCACTTTTCTGAAAGAAACCATCTTCGACATCAAAACAGCCTTCCTGCTCAAGTTTCTTTCCACTTTCTTCACCACCGCCTTACATTTCTTACCTCTGATTGATCTCGCCCATTTTTTACACAGATCAAAACTTTCCATTTTTTTTTTTTACAAAAATTTAAATTATTATTATTTGTTTTATACGGTACAGAGATTTAATTTACTGAAATAGTCTCATCTTCTTATCACTGTAAATCTGTAATTAAATTGGATTATGTCAATATTTACCTAGAATCATATTATAAGGCTGTACTGATTTAATGTTTTTTTCTAATGTGCCGTTGACTCGTTTTTTATTTGCTGGCTGAAATTAGTCAAACCTTTATTATTAATTTATATTCTATAATTGGTCATTTAAAATGATTTAATCCCACTTTGCTCTTTTGAAATAAAGTAGTTTAAAATTTTGGACCCTCGAAACACGATAAATCGTGCATAATGTAACCCGAATGAATTTTTTAAAGCTAATAAATGTAATTTAATATTTTTAGTGGTATTTTTTACGATGCCGAATATGAAATTAATTTTTATTTATTCATCATATCTTTTTTGAAACTAAAAAGTGCAAAAATAAAAATACATCTCATCAATATATTTCAAATAATTTTTTTTATCACAAAAAAATATTTTACGAAAAAAATAAATCTTTCGACTGTTTCGTTATCAAGTTATTTCAAAACCATATTTTCTTCCAAACATTTCAACCTCGTATTTACACCAATTACAATATAAGATTCATCACTCGAATAATTTAGTGATAAAAGTTTATTTTATTTTATTTTGGAAGAAAATATATTTGTTTTCAATAATCCAGTGTAACTTTTATTTTTTAGTATTTGGTGCGCTCGAAATTAAATTGAAGGTTGAAGAAAATTACATTTTTTTATTTTCACCCTCGAAATAAAATTAAAAAAACCAATAAAAAAGGAGATTGCCTTTATTATTCAATTCAATATGCACTGTGAATAATTTATTATATTTTGAGCATGTAAAGTACTATTATTGTTTTTCAATGATGCAAAGTGCTAAAAGGCTCTATATTAAGGGTGCAAAGTGAGATTAAGTGGGATTAAGCCTATTTAAAATGGTTATTTCTTGCTTTTGTGTTTGCAACAAATCAGATTTTCACAAATCATTTCTAGTTTTTTGCAATGTTTCCATAATCAGACCAGCTATAGCACCGGACGACCATTTGGGTATGAGTTTATTGAGAACCGGACTGACTATAGAACCGGACGACCATTTAGGTCATGGGTTTATAGGGTCGAACCGGTTCAACCGGGTTTTTGATTGTTTTTAATATATCATTATTTTATTAATTTTAATGTTTTAAAAATATTGTTTTCCACTTGTTATTTTCACTTTTATCTACTTCACCTCAATTTTTTACTATGCTTATACTCTATATTTTTCCATTTTTTATTCTTCAAATCCGGCAATCGACCACCCATATTCGATCACCCATGATCATAGCCGACAATCATTCGACCACTCATGACTAGATCCGGCCACCCACTACTAAGTATGTGAATGTTCGCTCAAATCTAGCCACTAATAACCAATTCAACGGTGATTCGAGACGTTTTGGCTGAAAATCGGGTTCCTTGACTGACACGTCGGTTCTCGAATTTTATCTAATTGAACCGTTTTTTGGTCATTTGACCCCGGTTTTTAGTTTTTCATGTTTTAGATGTTAAACCGGACCGCTTTATCGCCGGATCACGGTCGAACAGGTTCGACCGGCCGATTCGGTCCGGTTCAAGCAACATTGATTTATTGTAATCTTTGACAACGATTAAAATTTATATTTTTCACTTGAAATAAGTCAGTAGACTCAAGTTATAAGTGTAGAACTAACTGTTGACTAGAATACATAATTTTGACTCGACTCGTTGGCTCAACCAGCGCTTGTGTTACATATCTTCGACCACCAATTTTGCCGTCCACACATTAACCCCACCCCCACCCCAAACCCCCCGTCAGTTAATTTTGACCGACAAAGCCAAACTTTTTGGATCCTTAAATGACCCTCCTAACTTCCGGTATACCAACGTTAAATAGCAAAAATATTGACAAAATCATGTTTTATGTAAGGGTTCATTAAGTTAGTTAAATAGGCCGAAAAATACGTCTGCATCCTTGAAATATATAATTTTGGTACTTTACATCCTTAAAACAAAATTAATAGCATTTTGAATCATTGAAACACAATAAATCATGTATAGTATAGTACACATCAAATGAATTTTTAAAGCTAATGCAAGTAATTTAATATTTTTTGTGATATTCTTTTAGGATGCGGAGTGTCAAATCATTATTATCCTTTTGAACTATAAAGTGCAAAAATAAAAATATATCTCATCAATATGTATATTTTTTTTACAAAATAATATTTTACAAACAAAAAAAAAAACAAAAATTGTTTAGCTATTTATTTCATTATCAAGTTATTTGGAAATGATATTTTCTACCAAATATTTTCACTAATTGGAATAAAAGATCCATCAAGCGGATAAGTTAGTGAGAAAAGTTTTTATTTGATAATAAATTATAGTCTTCTTTTTTAGTAATTCGTTGTGATTTTTGTTTTTCTTTTTGCATTTTGTGTGCTCGAATATGTGTTAAGAGGTAGAAGAAACTAGCAATTTAATTTCTTATTTTGCACCCTAGAAATAAAATAAAAAAATCAATAAAAAATGATATTACCCTCATTAAGTATTAAATATTCAATTCAATGTGCATTATGAATGATTTATAGTATGTCGTGGATGCAAAGTGCTATTAGTAATTTTCTATGATGCAAAGTGCCTCAATACTACATTTCAAAGGTGCACTGTGCCTCAATACTATATTTCAAGAGTGTAAAGTGAGATTAAGCCAAATTCACATTAAAAAAAAAATGAGTTTTTGCCATTTTACACCCTTGAATTATGGTCCATTGGCACTTTGCAAAATAAAATAAAATAAAATAAACAGTTTACAAAATACACATTCATAGTTGTTTTACTTCAAAAATAGATCCCCATGCGTTGATGATTGAACACATAAGAAAAACAATGAACTTTAAGCATTAATTGAAACATTTAAGTTGGAGAAATTTAACAATAGTGATCTAACACATGTTAATAGAGATAACTAACCAGTGCTAAATCCGGTGAGACGAAATAATTATAAAGTAGAAGATTCGCCGTTGCTAATAGAGAGAGAAGCATGGGCAGACGACGACGGAGTGAACCACAATGGTGGTGGCACAATCCTCTTGATCTTGTCGGC